CCAAATCAGTGCTTCTGTTGATTGTTGTTTGGTTTTTTAATTTAATTTTTTAACTTATTCAGTGTAAGGAAAATACAAAGTACCATTTTGTTTTTGTTTTTTTGGTCAAAATTTATTAAATTTTGACTTTTTTGATCAACTAACAGTCGAATTGATGGTTTTCAATTGGACCTCAAAGTGCGTATTTTGAAATGCTTGGAATTGTGGGTGGCCAAACTGAATGTTAGAGTAAAGCCTGTAAAAAAAAGTGAAAGATTAGGGATTGCTGCTGCAATTTTTCCTTATTTAAAATACATGAATATCTTTGAAATTTTTATAAACCAATCAAATAAGCAAAATGGCTACCCGACTTGTCCAAATTGGATAAAAGATTTGTTACTTATAAATTGTGTGAATTGTGACTGTGATCTATTAATTGCGTTGTACGAGACCATGACCTCGTGTGATTTGGGGCTTAGCACGTGATTATGACTTGTTTTAATTTTAACTTGCAAGTCACAACATTATCAGATGCCATAGTCACGTACCATCTTTTTTGAAATTTTTTAATAAGTTTGTTAATTTTGAAATTGTATTCTTGAATTATTGTAGTTATGAAAATTTTCCCATTATAAATAATACGAAAACAATCGAAGCCCGTGCCTTTTTTTATCTAATACGGAGCATGAAGCCTAACGTTTGATTGTTGAAGGGTTCATTTCGTAGAGTTCTTGATTCTGTTTTTACCTCTGATAAAAGAGCTTCAGTAGAAACTATTTTATGTTAGCTGTCTTTAAAAAACTCTTTTAACATGATAAAGCATTTTAAAAAAATGATTCGATATGTTCAAAGCTGCATCTTTAATTTATAAAAACAAAAAAATTACTTTTTAAAAATCATGAATAATTGACCCAAGTTATGGATGAAAAATTGACCCAAGCAAATGTATGGCACGTTAAGCTGCAGGATGAATGGATAAGAAAAGGGTCCCACACAGATGACAATTGGATGAGATGTGTATATAGCCAACAAAATTATGTAATAAATAGCATTCTTGGACTATAGGCAAACATACAGAGTATTATTAGTTAGTTGTTAACTTGTCATAATTTTCGTCCCTCGTTTGATTTTGATATAATCCATGAAAATACTTTGAATAGACTGTATCTATTCCTTCGATAAATCAAGACCTTTTTTGATGTATTAAAAAAAAGGACCTGATATTTCGAGTAAATCAAGTTAACATAACAATAAAAACTGAAATTAACAGGGGAACAAATCCTTTAAATAGTAAATCAAGTAGCTTCAGCGTTCAAGACATGATTGAATGGTAAGTATTACTATTAGTCTCTATTTGATTACAACGAATTTCATGAAAATATCACGCCAGAGAGGAAAACGAATTTCACTTTGACCGTTTAATTGCAACGTGGAAATAAAAATCGAATTTTAAGGTACAACCACTTTAAGTTACATTTTCTTTATTTTCTTGGAAAATGAATTCTTATGGGCCGAATTATGGGCAGGTTCGTGATTCGGCCCACTCGGTCCATGGACCGAATTACGAGCAAGTTCACCTCCATGTGGGCCGGACGGCTTGCCCATCTTGACATCACTACCTATACACCCACACACGTTATAATCAAAGTGTTAATTTTAGGTAACGTGTAAATAGAGAGTAAATATAATTGAGAATCTTACAAAATATGCAGGTAAAAACGATGTTTAATCTAATCTAGTGTAAGTTAGGATACCTGGATATCAAAAAAAAAAAAAGATGTTTAATCCATTTATAAAATCG